TTCGTCGTCGCGTTGTGTTACATTAATATCGCAATTAAACGCGTAAGAAGCCGTAGATCGCCAAGTGCTACTAATATCTTACCGAAATGATTTGATAAGAGTTCGACATCATGGCGATAAGCATATTGAGCAGCACAATGATGTTGATGACGGAGTAGGAGCCGAACATGAGCAGAGCCCAGAATCGGGTGAAGCTTTTGATGCCGGTGAGGTCGAATGACATGAGGTCCACCATACCGAAGCTCGCCCAAAAAAGTGACTGCGACGTCTCGAAGAGACTGCCGACGAGTGAAAAAATTGTCATTGCTGGTAAAGAATAATTGCTATCGTATTTGTAATAATAAAGTGAGCTGCCACTCACTTAGCGAATCTTCTCCAGGTCGAGCAGGCTTTTTCATTATTATCGAAATCCGGTAAGCCGTTCGGCGAATGGTAGCACTTATTCTTTTCGAGATCGGCATAGTACCAAAGTAGCTGATTCATACCTAGGCGCAGGTAAACAAACAGATTTAGGTTCGCTCGATAAATAACGAACGCTATTTATCGCCGCGAGTCGAGAGAATGCAATTTTTTTTTTTTTTTTTTTTTTTTTTTCAATTAAGTTTTGCAAAAAAATGTTTATGTGCTATGGGAAGCTAATTAAAAAATTAGCCGTAGTAAAGTCGTATGGTAATTTGAATTTTGTATGAGCGCGATATCACACCTCGTCGAATGTAATGTTACGCCTTTGTGATCAGGTGACTCAATAAACGTGAGAGGCATTTCGGAATAAATGCTTTTTGCTTTCATGTCGTGCTTCATTGCCTACTTCGTACAATACAATCCAAGCATATATGTATATATGTATTATTACATAACTCTATGATAAATTTCCTGTTCATAATATGTATTACTAAAACGTGATTCTGTGCGACGATAAATAGCGATATAACTCATACAATAGAAAGTATCGGTAGTTCCACATTATACTGATCGTTTAAAATTAAATTCTTAATAATTTTTATTTTTTCATTTTAATGTCTAAATATCCTTAAGATAGGAGTCACATGGTTTTTTCTTTCTCTATAGAAATATATATTTACGAATTGACTAAAACTGCAATGAATATATATATATATTTTTTTTTGTTTAAATAATGCATTGTGTACACGTATGACGCTTGTCAAATTTTATTAACAAGATGAAAAATGTTCTTCGCTTAATGTGTCGAGTATAATTATTCTGACAATTAAGCATTAATGTCTTAACATATCGTAGGCCGCTCGCTGTATATTATACCAACCAAGTTATTCTTAATTACCACAACCAAATGCAAAGAGGACGAGAGTGTAGATAAAAAAGAACTTGATGATATCGATGATCATTCGGCCGAGTGAGATTTGAAGCGGTCCGAGATGAGGATTGACGCTGAATATGTGCACGAGCTTGAGAAAACTTAAAGAGGTTGAAGGGGATGGTGATAGGGGTAGGCGGACGGAAAGAGAGTGAAATTATAAATAATCGTTGACAATACTTTATAAATCGTGTGAGATGATGGATATCACTTATCTACCTGAAGATCATTCCGGCTGCAAATGCTCCCTCCGACAATAGCATTGGCTCGAAGTCGTCCCAATGATCTCTAGGATACCAAGGATCTTCTCCACTCCAATATTCTCTCTATCGATTAAGGAAACAGCAATGAGTGGTCGTTGACACCATTAAAAATAAGTGTCCAGCCATTGGCATAAATTACGAAATTTATTAAGAAAAACGTTTGGCAATATTTATTCACCTTTAATAAGAAAAGGTTAATTAAATTTCAATTTACAAGCACATTATTACTACATTAGCATCATTATTATATCATTTTTTTTTTTTTTTTTTTTTTTTTTTTTTTTGGGATAAACTCTGACATATAATGGAATAATTTTATTGCCGCTTGATCTAACGATAGAGAGAAGTTATAATTTTTTTTCGTTTTATCGATTGATTTATTTATTTTTGCCATCTGTTCGTTTGTCCCGTATTTATTTTATTTTCCATTCATTGGTCCATTTCGTTGGCTCTATAAAGGAAAATAGCATACTAATACCAAAGACGACATTCTGACGAATATTCTCATTGCCAACGAGTTATTCGTTGGCCATTACAAATTAATGGGAATTTATTCAATTTGGTGAGAGTATGGGCTCGAGACTATCCTCTAGACTGGGCTCCTCGTTTAAAATTCATAAGTGACAAATTATGATCGATGTGAATAAATTCTGATGAAAATCGTCCAGCTACGTACGTATGCCATAAAACATAATGCATGCTTAAATTAAAAGTCATAATTTAAAAATCATCAATTACTACCTATGGCTGAATAATATATTTTAGTGTACGCGTCACTGACCGTAACGATTACCCATGCGGTTACTCTCATACTTATCCAAATGACGTAAAACGTATTCTGAATGAAGTCAACTATATTCCACAAGTCTGAAATGTATTCCAGTAATCCATCGGCCCACAGAGACCTTATTTCCCCAACAACTAAACCTGCAATGATAAGACGAATTACTGATTATTCGGTGCAATAATTTGCCAAGCATTGCGGATTACGAGATGGGATGGGTTGACCGCTCCGTTTATCGCTTAATCGAAATTCATCGTTCGGGAAAAGTCGTAGCCGAGAGGGTAATTTCAGCCTCCAGCTTTTCGCCCACTGCTACTCCCTAGACGACGATCGATAACTGCTTACATAAACAATTATACATTCACAATTTGCGATTCGGCATTGTCAAATTCACCAGCGCGCTCGACGATGGAGCTCGTTTTTCTTTTTGTTTTATTCTTTTTTTTTTTTTTTTTTTTTTTTATTTTTTTGTTTTTTTTTTTTAACCGAGCTCCATCTTCATCCAACCCATCCTTCCCCGCCCACGCGTAAAAGCAACTATAATCATCCCCTACCACACCCACCCATGATCTCTGCCTAAGACTTTCATCGAGACTTTAGCACTCGGAAAGCAGTGATCGAATCGATCGATCAGCGATTTATCATCGAGCCGGGGCAGTGATATAATAGTCCATTAATAAAAATTGAAATAAAGCCTTTTCTACGTACTGAAGACGTATAGAATGACGCCGGACTCGACGAATCCGGGGATGCAGCCGCGCTCTCTGCGTTTCCATCCTGCCAACATCTCCTTCATCCAGGCGTTGCCGAAGAGCTCGATCGCGAGGTACTCGACGCGCTGCGAGGCCGCGCCCAGCAGCACTGCCAATTTCCAATTGCCAATTTAATAGAATTCGAGCTGCCAATTGGCATCTAGCTATGTCACGGGGAAAGTGCGAGGATAAGGCGATCGAGTCCCAGGTGCGAGCACACGAGCCGATCGGTTGGATTAAGGTAGGATGCGCTCGGGGTGAATGTGGTGGAAGTTGTCGGTGGTTAAGTAAGGAGAAGTAAGTCTCGACTCACTGAGGAAGACGGCGTAAGAGGACGAGTGGCAGATGAACTTGACGAATGGCTTTTTCATGAAGAGAGCCTTGGTAGAGTTCGGGGCGAGCATGTAGATGGTGCTGTAGACGGGGAATTGGGCGCCCAGCTTGGCGACCTCGATCAGCTGGCCTATCATACTGAGTCTGCGGAAGCCGGGCAGACCGTCGTACCAGATGGCGGCGAGCAGTTGCTGGACGTTCGGATGGGCAACGAATTGCTTCTGCTTGTACTTGATAGCGAGCTTGAGTCGCTCGAGGGTCTGTCGCTCACCGGGCTCCCAGTTTTCCCCCGTCGGATTGTAGTTGAGCATGACCTCGAGCTCGTGGGAGGTGCGCGCATGGTCCAGCAGCGAGGTCGCGAACACCTGCACGTTCTCGCGCATCTCCTGCAAGGCGATCGGCCGCCGTCGACTCCTTCGTTATACTCGTAAAAAAAGGCTCTCCCGTCGCAATGATCCTCATTACTCTAGCCTGATTTTAATTTTGCTCCCTATCGCCGAGCCCCTATCCTATCCCCATTATGCAGCTACTTTACCCCAGCTATCACATGTCCACCTTTCGTAATGGAGGCGAGAGTCCGGGAATTTTCAAAGGCGAGGAATTTTTTAAACCCGGTAATGGACCATTTTGTGATATAATATCGCGACAGCCTCAGCTGTTTTATGCTCTAATCTCGCTATTCTCGAATGTCTGCTTACGAGCTATTTTGTATTTTACTCGACCTTCTTTATATATCATTTTATTTTTCTTTTCTTTATTTATTTTTCCTTTTTAATCCTTTCCTGTTCTTTCATACTATGAATTATTGCTTGTTTTCCTTTCTATTCTTTTTTTTTTTTTTTTTTTTTTTTTTTTTTTTTTTTGAATTATCGTTATTTCTGTACTATGCAATCGATAGATGGTGACATAAAAACATATATTATTGGTGTACAAATAATTGGAATACGAGGAGAGCCGAAAATTTAAACTCATTTTTCATGAAATCTTACGTAATGCGTAATGTATAGATAGATCTGGAAGGTAAAAGCTTGACCGTAGGAGTAATTTATTAGTTAGAAGCTAAAAGGGCTGGTATGTTAAAATATCGAAAAGTTACATCTCGTGTATACCCGTGATCGTAGTCCGTTGAATAAATAAATTTCTGGAATAACTTTAAGCGCAAGTAAACCAGTATAATTTTGAATTCATAATTTATTCTTTATGATAAATTTCTAGATTTTCAAAAGACTCATTTGAATTTTAATACTATAATGCTTCTCTATACGTAAGTAATAGAGATATGCAACGAGACTTGTCTTCTTGCGGCATTACATTTTTATTATAAAGAAACGAATAATAACAATATTAAATTGCAAATTAGGTTGATAATTTTTTTTTTTTTACAAAACTCCTTTAATATCTCTCTCTCTCTCTCTCTCCCTCTCTCTGTACGTATGTATTTTCAACTGTAATATAATAATCTACTATTGTACATGTTATGTACTCTTTAATGTCTATTCTGAAGATTAAAAATTAGAAGGGAATTTTCTGGATTCCGCGACTATTAAGATTTAATGCTTTGTAAAAGTATTCGAGAAAGCAAGTATTTCATTATTAAATTATAAATATAAAAGAATTTCGTGATCTTTTTTCCGTATCATTGTTTGCAAAAGCTGCGAAAAATTAACAAAATTAGTATTCAGTTAGTGACTGCTTTCATAACAGAAACATATAATACCGAAATCAATAATAAAAATTTCCTCCGCGTCTTTATACGGTGCACGTTGTTCACAAGGATAATTGAATAAAATGACCAAGTTACTAATCTCGTAATTAATGGCAAATCTTGCTTCATTGTTACAATAATCCACTGATATGGGAATAAAGGCTCGGAAAGCTCAAAGCGAGCGAAAAGTAATCGGGTAGCGACAGATTTAGTGTACATTATATTTCTTCTTTACGTAAAATTAAAAATAATGTCAAACGGAAATGTGTTTATTCCCACATACAAAGAATTTCTAATATTAATATCACTAATTAAGAAAATTGATACGATTAAGGAGCATTAACGAACATACATTTAGCCGTTCATTGGAAAAAATGACTTTATTACAACGCGATGAGAATTCATAAATTCTACATGTATACCATATATGTGCTAAAAACTTTTCTATTATTAATAATTTCATTGATATTACTGTTGGATTTATTGGATAAGGCGAGGCTAAGTGAATATTAAAGGAGTTTTGATAAAAGATTATCTACGAAAAGTGAGTGTACAAGTACCGGCTGCCATAGTTACTTCCAGTAAATTTAATGGACGGGGCACAAGAGTATGCCGAAATGGAAATCTGAGGTATCTCGAGGAATGGAGGCGAAATTAACATTTCGGCGGCAGACGTCCACGCGATATCGCGCGTATCATCGATAAATTAAGAATTAAGAAAGATGACAGTGCGCACTAACGTTGTACTCGGAGCAGAACTCCTGCTCCATGCGGCTGAGCCTGCGCAGCTCCCAGGAGAGCTCGAACGCGGTGAGCAGCGGGTCCCTGGAGGAGAGGGCGATGAGGGAGGACGAGGTAAGGGCCTTGTAAGCGTTGATCCTCGACTGGGAGTGGCGCAGAGAGTCCTGATCGCTGGAGGTGACGCACTCGTCGCAGCCGCAGCGTACGTCGTGAGGCGTCGGCAGTGTAGCGCCCCGATCGAGCAGGATTTTTATTATCTCGTAGTTGTTCATGTGGGCAGCGAGGATCAGGGGTGTTATGTCGGGGGTGAAGTTTGAGGCCGAGCGGTCCACCGCCTCCCAACTCTGGCGGATGGATTTACGGCTCTCTTTAAACCTGCGCTAATTATCGCCTACTAGCGCCACTACTTTTTTTGGATTCGCCTAATATGCCCACGCGATTATAGCAAGCTAGCGGTAATGCCCTCGATCCTTAAGATTTTAGGCGCTAACTACTCCGGCCATTGGGGCGCCGATGGTAGGTTCACTTTGTTGACGGGTTGAGGTGGGCGGTTGGGGGGAGGGGAAGGGGGGAGGGGGAGGGGGAGGGTGGTACAAGTTCCTCGATCCGCGTTCCTTGGAAGTGCAGTGCGATGGATTACCTACCTTACTCTGGATTACCTTTCTTCCGTCTTTTTAAACATAACTCTTCAAAGTGCGGCGTTACGTTTTCTTATTCCTGCGTGGTGCAAAAAGAAATTGACATTCGGCGCTAAATATCGAACGTTTCTCGAGAAAATTCCAGCGCGTAACAGGCTAACTCGATTGATTATTATCACGCACTGAGATTTCGAAATTTCTCGCTATCTATTAGCGATACTATTTAGATGTCTTGTGTGCCATCTAATTCGATAAAATTCTAATGGTGAAAGCGACGTTCCCCAGTTTAACGAGCAACCCGAACAGAATTAAGTTATACCTTTCAGTCAATTAAAGTATATTTCAAAAACAATCCCACTTCAAAATTTTCAAAATTCTCTGCTAGTGCAATCAATATAAAATTCACGGCTTCATTAATATTTACAATAACAAAAGACCAAACAAACAAAGAAAAAGCGAAAGAAAAAGAAGTATACTGTAATTTATAATTTAGCGCTGAAAATTATTGTACAGTTATTAAAAGAATTGGTTTGTATATTTTAGGAATTTCCTGAAATTACTTAAAAATCGATGTGAATGATTTACGGTTCGAAATAGGCTTTATCAGAATTGTTAAAAGCTAACACTTTGCCGAAACCCTTTTGAAGGATATTAAATATGGTAATTATAACATAATCTCACATCTCAAATCTAAGCAAGTAAATAGAGCAGTGAATGTATGTTGAACAAAAAAAGAAATTATTTTACAGCAATATATAATTATTTGTGCTTTTTATGCGCGATTTCTTTAGGCTTACGCTTATTAAATTTCAAATAAATCGCAGTTAACAAAATTAGTTGGCAAAAAAATAAATAAAAATAGTTTATTAATAAGAATTTAATAATTATATCAAATTCCTTTACCGTTCTAATAATCAAATTACAAATCATCAATGTTTTGAAATTATAAAG